ATACAACGTATTCCATCTGAAATACAACGTACTCCATCTGAAATACAACGTACTCCATCTGAAATACAACGTACTTCATCTAACATACAACGTTCTCCATCTGAAATACAACGTACTCCATCTGAAATACAACGTACTTCATCTGAAATACAACGTAGTCCATCTAAAATACAACATACTCCGTCTGAAATACAACGTACTTCATCTGAAATATAACGTACTCCATCTGAAATACAACGTACTCCATCTAAAATACAACATACTCCATCTGAAATACAACGTACTCCATCTAAAAATACAACGAACTCCATCTGAAATACAACGTACTCCACTTGAAATTCAACGTACTTCATTTGAAATATAACGTACTCCATCTAAAATTCAACGCACTCCATCTGAAATACAACGTACTCCGTCTGAAATGCAACATATTCCATCTGAAATTTAACGTACTCCATCTGAAATACAACGTACTCCATCTGAAATTCAACGTACTCCATCTGAAATACAACGTACTCCATCTAAAATTCAACGTACTCTATCTGAAATACAACATACTTCGTCTGAAATACAACGTAGTCCGTCTGAAATACAACATACTCCATCTGCAATACAACATACTCCATCTGAAATACAACGTACTCCGTCTGAAATGCAACGTATTCCATCTGAAATTTAACGTACTCCATCTGAAATACAACGTACTCCATCTGAAATTCAACGTACTCCATCTGAAATACAACGTAATCCATCTAAAATTCAACGTACTCCATCTGAAATACAACATACTCCGTCTGAAATACAATGTACTCCGTCTGAAATTCAACGTATTCCATCTGAAATGCAACGTACTCCATCTGAAATACAACGTACTCCATCTGAAATACAACGTACTCCATCTGAAATTTAACGTACTCCATCTGAAATACAACGTACTCCATCTGAAATACAACGTACTCCATCTGAAATACAACGTAGTCCATCTGAAATACAACGTACTCCATCCGAAATATAACGTGTGGAATATGTTTTGTTTAAAAATTACAACGTGTTCCATCTAAAATACAATGCGATATACCATTAGAAAATGCACAGCACTGGCCATGTCGATATAAAGACATGGTGGCAATGCGACTTACAAAATGCATTAGTTGTGAGGACAACTTGAACATTGTTATTACCTTGTGATATCATCATTTCTACCATATTCTTTTTATTTTTTTTCACCGTATAGGTGGACGCCATGTTGCAATATATGGATACTGTTATAGGGGCTCTAATGGATGGAATAATGAATCTACAGCTCGATAAATGTGTTGACATCATTATTTTGGCAGACCATGGAATGGCTCCCCGAGACTGTAGTCGAGTCTTTTTCCTGCATGACGTATGTATGACCAATAACATAGGCGTATTTGATATTGGATGTTGATATGCACACTGGACTTTCATAGTTCCTGCCAGTGTTTTCAGAGATTTTAAAGGACGGTAGGCGTCGCACCGCGCATATACGACATTAGCGTTGATTTTTCCACAATCCAATGCGCTCTTCTACTGGACATCCCTAGTATGGGTTTTGACCTGTGCGCGACACGCACTGAGTACCGTCGATGTCGATGTCGATGAATTTGAATACCTTCCAATCACCAAGAAAATTATCTAGTCAAAGCTTGGTAATGTCTCAGTTTGTACTCGTTGTTCTGTGCAACCGTCAATGTCGCCATCTTTGTTTATATAAGACTCATATTTCGTGACGACCACCCTTTAATCGTTTATTTTATAACTAACTAACTAGGTTCTGATTTTCTTCTGGTTGTTATAATTATTTTGACAGTATATTAACACGTACGATTACTACATAAGATATGGCGCCATCACACGTCTTGATCCTAAATGGGACGGTAAGTACAAGTCACGTGTTAGTCACGTGCGATTCAATGGGAAACCCTCCGAGTATATCAAGATCGTACTGTGCGAGGGTATTCGAGCAAATATGTATCACTATTTTTATGTATTAAATCCAATTGAAATCAACTTACAGCAATTGCTTAAAAATAATTTATAATGGGCCGATTTTTCTAATAATTCATGACAACCGATGTTTTCACCATATGTTTGCAACCTGTTTATCTTATTAACCCATGTTGATTTGTCATTTTCCTCCCAAAATGTAGTCACGTAGTCATAGCTTTTGTAAACAAACTGCATAAAAATGAAACCAAAAAATGTCTGTTGATCTATTTTATATGTGATATTATAGTATTGACTTACGACTGACAGGATATCGCATATTCTAATATGGTCGACGAGGACGCAATGCCTATCGCCGACCATCACAGTGAAATCATCGAAACTACTGTAAAATACTTTATTTTATTTTAACTGTAATTAAATTTCGCGGAAAATACATTTTGGTGTTTTGTATGGAATTTATCTTCACTGATTTTTGACGAGTTGAATGTAAAATATAAGAAAAAAACGTATATTCGCTGGATTTTATTTTCACTGAATCATTCCTTATGCAAAAATCATCATCATTTCCATGTCTCGTGGTGGAGAATAGGGCCAGCATCTCCCCTCCTTCATGTTTCTCTGTCTTGAGCCGCTACTTCTACCTCTGCCCAAGTCTTGTATCCCAATTGATTTCTTTCCTTTTCCACAGTTCTTCTCCAATTATCTTTTGGTCTTCCCACATTCCTTTTGCCATCTGTTAATAATAATAATAATCTTTATTGAAACCGTATCCCGGAGTGGGATGTAAGTTGTTCGTCATCCGTCAACAAGTTGCTTTTATTATATTTAATATTGTTGATCACGATTTCTCATTCCTTCTTGTATAGATTACAATTGAGAAGAAAATGTTTTTCGTTTTCAATTTCCTGTTTGTCACAAACTGGGCAAATTCGGTCCTCCACTAAAATGTTATTATATCTGCTCCTTTCGATTTGAAGGGTATGAGCACTTATTCTGAGTTTTGTCATAGCAGCTCTATGATTTGGATTTTTGATTGTGGTGAGATATTTTTCATATGCAAATTCTGTTTTAATTTTCCTATATGTTCGC